TCTAGCGAAGGAGGCAGCGGGTGGAAAATTAGTGAGAGGACAGTGTAATTCTTTACTAAACCGACATAAAGGGATTCTTGCTGGAAGCAGGTCAGGGCATGAAGGATTGATCACCTACGATCGATACAGATTGATCGGATGCTGAGGGCAAGGGTTCCGGCTAAACCAACTGGGCAAGACAGTGTTCTTGCACCAAATGGGCAGTGCACAGATGGGACATGGAAATCCAAAGGTAGTGGCCCAGCTGGGAGGAAATTGCAGCAGGCCCTGCTACAGTCTGCTCAGAGAAGCTGCGTCCAAGCAGCACGAATGAAACTGGAATAGTTACCTTTCAGAGCAGGTATTCTGCGTCGGAGCTGGCTAGCAGCGTGTGGTTGGAGCCCCTGCTGGGAGCCACCCAGTGCCCTGAGCTCACCCTCATTTACTTTGTAACCAAGACTCTCATTACTTTGTAACCAATGATTCTGGAGCACCCGCTGGGTGCCACCCATTGCCAGGGGCTCGTCCCCACCACACGCACTAGCGTCTTGTTCCTCTCCAAGCGCTGGGAGGGACGGGCAGAGCCCCGGTGCCTGGGGTCCTGAGGTCTGGGGGTTAACCAAAATGGGGAAGGGTCTGGGGCCCCGATTCTCCTGATCTAGGGTCTTATCCTGGAGAGTTTATGGCCAGGCAGCTCCTCCTCCTTTTGACCTCATCAGATGGGAGGATGAGTCTTCAGGGGCTCCTACAGATTCTCCCTGGACCTGTGTTTCTGAGGCCTGCTGGCCGCTCCTGTAGGTAAACAGGTTTCTCAGATCCAATCCTTTGGCAAATACCAGACTAAACAAAGCACTTTGAACAGCGTCTTCTAGCCTTTCATATGCTGGTGTCCACTGAGAGCCAGGCGTGGGATGCCAGGTTCCCAGGTGGATCTGAGTACAGAATATTATTTTTTATGGGATCATCTCACTAGTTTCCAAAGGAAGACCGCTGGGAAATGTCCTGATGTTCTCAAAGGCTCTTTGCAGTTATAGAATCTCTGTGACCTGCTAATTGCACAAGACAGAGGAGCTCCTGGCCCCTGAGAAAATACACTTAAAAAATAATAAAAGGATTACCAGCCTTCATTCACCATAGAGGGTGCAGGGGGTAAAATAAACTGTCCCCCTTCCTGTGTCTGCGTCAGGGCGGACGGACCCGGCAAAGCCTTCATCTCGTGCGAGTTGGAGGAGATCCGTCATCCTTGGAATTTCAACACTTCATCCTTTCTACTGGGCCTCTGCATTTCGGTTTGAAAAATCGGCCTGCGTTAATTGTCGGAGGCTGTTTCCCTCCGATTCCCCCAAGCGAAAGACAAGGGCTGCTGCTTTCCCTTCGCTGCATTAGTTGTCAAAAAAAAGACCGCTCTCCCCCAGATGGTCGATTCTGCGTCTCTGGCCTGGAGTTTTCCATCTGTGGAACAGCTCAAAGCCGCTTGGTACTGGGATCTCCGCGAGAGGATCTGCTGAAGATTTCCAAGATGGAAAGACGTTTGTCATCTTGGCAGGATCCTGTTGATGTAAATCCGGGAGTGTCCCGCCCAGTCCCCAGGTGCCTCCGAACCTTTCCAGGTGCGCTCATGACAAGAAGCTGCGGACCGTCCCCCACGCTGCTGAAGGTCAACAGCCCAAAAAAGTAGGTCTACAGGAGCTTCTGGTGGATGCAGCCCTTCCTGTCCACACTGGCGTCCACACTGCCCCCTGGACATTTGAATCTGTCTAATGGAAACCTACTTCCGGCAAGAGCAGGTGGAGATGACAGCAGTGAGTTGTTCCTCAATATTATATTTTGTCTTGGTAAGTGTGGGGGTGTCATGCCAACCCCTGGGTAAAGCATAAGTAAACACATATGGGTCAAGCAGACAATTCGCAGACACAATCCTACGACTAGGAAGTGAATGCATGGGAAAAAGTGTCAATTTCAACACTAACAATGCAAGCCAAACAGTAGGTAAATATGTCCGTACAAGGATGAGTGTGTGTGTGTGTGTTTGCCCATCAAACTAGAAGGGGCCACGTACATCTTTAGTAGCCAGTTGGTGGGATGGTACGTCTGAGTCACGGCTAGTGGCTATACACACTGATATTCTGAGCAGTATTTATCAGAGAGGTTAGGAAGCTCAATGTAAAGAACAGTTAACACTTACTAGACACCAGGTCCAAATTAAGTACCTCGGGCACACTTGGCGCATGTAGCCGATGCAATGACTCTTCTCCATCATCTTCATTTTGTCTGCTGAGTAGAGAAACAGAAGGAGGAAGAGCTCAGGCAGTTGGCCTGGGGTTGTGTAGCTGGTATGTGACAGACGCAGAGGTTGAACTCAAGACCCGTTCCCCAACTCCCTCACTCTCCTGTCCGGTGTGACTTCCTCTTTTGTTCTGTGTCTGTGAAGGAGCCTAAATACACCTTAAAAGTTGTCCCATGAGGACTTTGACACAAGGATACTCACTAGTTTATTTATGATAGTGAAGACTGGGAAACATGTTGGCAAAATAACACACTGTCACTTAAAAATAGCATCTAGGATTTTAGGTTATGGATGTCAGAATGAATGCAAACACATTTATCTTCAGTGCCTACCTAAATCCTAAGGAGATTCAGTGGAAATTTTTAGTAACACTCAAGATCACAAGGATGATGAGAATAGAAAATGAAATGGTAACATGACTTTGGATGCTGAGAGGCTGAGAGACAAGTGTCTATAGACCAGGCCATCAAAGAAAGGAGAGTCCAATCTATAGTACCTGAAACATAGAAATCAGAAGAAAACACAAACAGAAAGGAAAACACACAACACACCGAAGACCCCCACCAGGCCTGGCACCTGGGAAGCAAACGTGGGGTTCGACCACTCCCTTTCCCAGACATTCCTTCCTTCCCCTACTCAGTGTGTTGGCCCTGGCAGGAGACTAGAGATCTCTCTAGAAAGGCTAAGGCAGAGGGTCACTGAAAATGTGAGGGTTAAATGAACAGCCAAATTAAAAATATGATGATTAAATATGATGATTAAACATGATGATTTTTTTTCTCCTGGTTGACTCTCAGCATTCTGGTGATCAGACTTCTCCCTTCCAGAAAGGAAAGTAGAAGATTCTTTTCTGGAAAATCTCACCAGCCCAAGAGAAAAGACCTAATGATATGAACAGCAGAGCCCCCACAGTGACATTCCAGGCAGGCTGCCCCATTGCAAGACAGAGCCAACAAATGTCACCATTACTTGGGATTCCTAATCAACTTTTAAGGGACCTTCTATTAAATATAAGCAAACTTTGAAAAATCAACAAATATTTGAAGAAGTCTTGTAACATAGACAGATACCAAACAAGCAAACAGAATGCTGGAGAGAAAACGATTATGTAGGAAGATGAAAACCAAAGCCAAAAAAGAAGAAACACTCCAATAATACCCTCCAACTTAGAAGATGTTACATCTATGAAATAAGAACAGCATGCCAGTAAAAAGGAACACTTAGAAAAGAAAAGAAACAAAGAGGCTTGGGGACATTAAAAAAGATAATGGCAAAAATTAAAAACTCAGAAGGAAGGTTCTAAGATAAAGCTGAGGAAATCTCTCAGATGGTAGCAAAATGCCAAAGCAGTTTAAGAAGAGAAAAGACAATTAAAGAATCAACCAAAAACAAAACAAAACAAAACAAAACAAAAATAAAACAAAAAAACCCAAAACAATAAAAAAAAAACAGAGGAGGAGAGGAGAAGTTAGAAAGAGAATGGATGTAGCACAGGGGGATAAATCATCAAAAAACAGCAGAGATGACCGGTCATGATGTAGTGATTCTTGGTGCCTCAAAGTGTTCCAAGCATTGCCTATTAACTCAAGAATTGCACATTTACTCATAGAATTCTAATGAAAACTCTTGGGGTTGACATTATCTTTATCCTACTTTATAAATCAAGACAGTAAAGCACAGAGGGGATAAAGTCTGATTCCCCAAGGTCACCCAACTGATAAATGGCAGAGCAAAGATTCAAACTCAGGTATGTTGGCTCTCTTGTCTAAGATCTAAGCACACCATTAGGCTGCCTCTCAGGAAAATAGCTTTATAAAATCCAAGAAATTCTTCACTGTTGTTTTCCAGACCTGACGTTTCCAAACTGAAAAGACCATTTGAGTGTCTAGCACATTGGATAAAATGTTATGCATACTAAGACATAAAACCGTAGCACGATGGAACTTCAGAACCCTGGGGACAAAGCAGAAATCCTAAAAGCTGAGAGAGAGAGAGATGAGAGAGAACACATTTCCTATAAGATCAAGAATCAGGATGACATATGACTTCTTCTTAAGAGCAATTCTGGAAACAAGGAGAAAATGGAATAATGTACTGCCTTTAGTTCTGAGGATCAGGAAGTTGGACTAGCCGTCTGTACTCAGCCAAATGGTCACGTGTGAACGTGGAGTAATGACATTTTAGATACAACTGGCCTTGTGCATCTTTTCCTTCAACCTGAGGGAGTCAACCAGAGAGGGAGGCACAACAACAGGAAATGGGGCTACACAGGAAAGCTGCATCCCCAGGGTTGTAGGGAAGGAATCTCTAGGATGACAGTCATTTTTCAGAACAGTGTCCAGATCAGAGCAGGTCGGGAGAGTGGGATGGACGTCCCCAAGATGAAGTTCACCAGATGTGTTTGAGTGACCTGCGCAGGGGCTCCAGTGAAAGTCAGTTTCCAGAAGATGTGGGAAAGACAGGCAGACAAACCGAGAGACAACACCCGGGAGGATGAACTGCACTAAGAATAAACTGTTGTTCAGGGAAAGACAAATGACCTCAATGTGTCCACTGAGTCAGAAATACGTATTACCGTTCCTGTTTGCACGTGTATATAAAAAAGCACCGAGCGAACACAGATCTGATCAGAAAGGTGACTCCATCCTCATGGCGGGATGCCAGGGGAGTGGGGAGAGGGCATGTGTGCATTTCTTGTCCTTAGTGGTGAGTAAGCCAGTAAATAAAGACTGAAGTGGAAAAATCAACAGGTATGTTATGTACAAACGTGGGGTAAAGACCAAAAGAAACGACAGGAAATTGGAAAGCGTTAAACTCTGTGTGGGGGGGGAGGTGGGGGAGGACCGGCATGAGTTTGATCAGGGAATACTGATTTTATAATACATCTTACGGATGCAATTGATTCTGTAATTATGTGCCCAGGTAGCTGATTACAAGAAAACTCTTTTTTTTTTTTTAAGATTTTATTTATTTGACAGATAGAGATCACAAGTAGGCAGAGAGAGAGGAGGAAGCAGGCTCCCCGCTGAGCAGAGAGCCCGATGTGGGGCTCGATCCCAGGACCCTGAGATCATGACCTGAGCTGAAGGCAGAGGCTTAACCCACTGAGCCACCCAGGTGCCCCTACAATGAAAACTCTTAAAGGAAACAATGATGGACATGAAGGGTGTTGGTAACATGACAAATGACAATCACGTGGTGTTGGGTGAAAAGCAGGATCCCAATGACGTGAGCAGGACTGGAAGAGCGCGGCAAACAGATGAAACCAGGAGAAAGACTCATGGGGAGGGCATCAGGTACTGAAGGTGCCTGGTCAGAGTGGGGGATGCTTTAAAGATCCTTCTTTTAAGTGTTTCCCACATTTGCTGTCGTGTGGTGAGGTTCCTTGGGTGATGGAAAGTGGAGGGGAGAACAGATGCCCCTGGGAAGTGACCATTCTCCTGGGAAGCCTGGTGGGCATGGAGTTAAGCAGGTCTCTGTGTTCTGCTTGGTGTCAGGGACACCCTCTTCTTCTTCTTTTTTTTTTTTTTTTAATTTTTAATTTCTTTTCAGCGTAACAGTATTCATTGTTTTTTGCACCACACCCAGTGCTCCATGAAATCCTGCCCTCCCTAATACCCACCACCTGGCTCCTCCAACCTCCCACCCCCGCCCCTTCAAAACCAGCAGGTTGTTTTTCAGAGTCCACAGTCTCTCATGGTTCACCTCCCCTTCCAATTTCCCTCAACTCCTTTCTCTCCATCTCCCCATGTCCTCCATGTTATTTGTTATGCTCCACAAATAAGTGAAACCATATGATAATTGACTCTCCCTGCTTGACTTATTTCACTCAGCATAATCTCTTCCAGTCCCATCCATGTTGCTACAAAAGTTGGGGATTCATCCTTTCTGATGGAGGCATCATACTCCATAGTGTATATGGACCACATCTTCCTTATCCATTCATCCGTTGAAGGGCATCTTGGTTCTTTCCACAGTTTGGCGACCGTGGCCATTGCTGCTATGAACATTGGGGTACAGATGGACCTTCTTTTCACTACATCTGTATCTTTGGGGTAAATACCCAGTAGTGCAATGGCAGGGTCATAGGGAAGCTCTATTTTTAATTTCTTGAGGAATCTCCACACTGTTTTCCAAAGTGGCTGCACCAACTTGCATTCCCACCAACAGTGTAAGAGGGTTCCCCTTTCTCCACGTCTCCTCCAACACATGTTGTTTCCCATCTTGCTAATTTTGGCCATTCTAACTGGTGTAAGGTGGTATCTCAATTTGAGGTGGTTTTAATTTGAATCTCCCTGATGGCTAGTGATGATGAACATTTTTTCATGTGTCTGATAGCCATTTGTATGTCTTCATTGGAGAAGTGTCTGTTCATATCGTCTGCCCATTTTTTGATATGATTGTCTGTTTTGTGTGTGTTGAGTTTGAGGAGGTTTTTTTTTTTTTTAATACTTTATTTATTTATTTGAGAGAGAGACAGTGAGAGAGAGTATGAGCGAGGAGAAGGTCAGAGAGAGAAGCAGACTCCCCGTGGAGCTGGGAGCCCGATGCAGGACTCGATCCCGGAACTCCAGGATCATGACCTGAGCTGAAAGCAGTCGCTTAACCAACAGAGCCACCCAGGTGCCCGAGTTTGAGGAGTTTTTTACAGAGCCTGGATATCAATCTTTTGTCTGTACTGTCATTTGCAAATATCTTCTCCCATTCCGTGGGTTGCCTCTTTGTTTTGTTTACTGTTTCCTTTGCTGTGCAGAAGCTTTTGATCTTGATGAAGTCCCAAAAGTTCATTTTTGCTTTTGTTTCCTTTGCCTTTGGAGACATATCTTGAAAGAAGTTGCTGAGGCTGATACCAAAGAGGTTACTGCATATGTTCTCCTCTAGGATTCTGATGGGTTCCTGTCTCACGTTGAGGTCTTTTATCCATTTTGAGTTTATCTTTGGGGACACCCTCTTCTTTGTGATGTCTGATGATACCCATGTCAACTTGCTGGTCAGGGGAGCCAGGCCATAAGCTTCTGGAATGGCAGCCTGTAGACAGACGTGAGAAGAGCTGGCAGAGAAAAGAAGTCCCAAAGAATCCAAAGAGAATGGTACGGGAGCCTGTCAATGCTGCGGGCACATGGCTGGTGAGCCCCTCTTCAACTGCCCACACTCTCAGAACATCAGAAGCACCGGAAAGTGACTGATTCTCTTGTGGGGCTTCCACACACATCTCTGCTGTGTGGACCAGGATGGGGTCCCATCCTCTCTCCCCTTCACTCTTTTTCCTGCGCTCCCTCAACAGATCTTCTGGGTCTGAGGAAGATCATCCATGACGGAGGGTCCCAGGAGCCCCACTCTCATGCCTACAGTTTTGACATTTCTGTCTCCCCCATCACACTTGAGCTTCTTAGGGGTGTCTGTGTAAGGTTACACACGGGGGAGACATTCAGTAAAGGAGCAGATCCTAATTCAGGGATAAACAGGAGGTGGAAAGTTTCTCAGGAATCTGGAGGAAGAGAATAGTCCCAGGGGTGGCTGGGACCAGTTCACCTGGTCACCCCTTGCAAGGGCCAATGGTGAGATTTCTTCCCAACTCCCCATTTGAAGGATGGCGTGTCAGTACCTTGGAATTAGTCATGGTGGGAATATTTACACAAGGTAATCCGTCAACATACAAGTAAGCCCCGAGGCTCCTGGAGAGCTGGTCATGAAGTGTGTACTCCAGCAATATCGCAGATCAGGCCCTTGTTGGCCATGGGCTCCTTTTCCGAGAAGCAACCAATAGTCCAGTGATGCTGGTAAAAGCCACCCTCTTCATTCCAAGAGCCTGCCTGAGATGGGACTCAGGCATCGACAAGGACTTTTCCATTTGGGCATTGTGAAGAGCCTTTTTGATTTGAGAAGATGGGAAAGTTGGGGCTCTCTACCCCTGAGCTAATTCTGGCACTCACCTCTGAGGTTTTCGGATATCTCTGTCACAACCTGGGTGAGAGAGGACAGGGATGTGGGGTTCCCAAACACGATGTAATTCAGTGGCAAGACCAAGCCAACCCTCCACAGCCAGCTTTGAAAATCCTTGAGAACAGGTTTGAATATTGTTCTGTTTTAGAATTTTTGCAGGTGCCTGGAAGGAAGTGGCAGATCCCAGACCCTCCGCCGCTGCACCCTGTTGCCCAGTTTAAAAATAAAAAGTGTGGTCAATGAGTTCTGGGCAGATCTCCTGACATGGGTGTAAAAAAGATTGATACTTCGCAGGAGGCTTTGCCTCGGAATGTAAATATCATCTCCATGAATCAAAATCACAATAGGGGATAAAAAGAAACTCGCTGTACCATGCTAAGACTCTGTGGGTACCCCCAAGGTTCTGAGTCATAAGTCAAGGGGTTCTAGGAGGCTCTGTGGGGTTCTGGGGGTTCCTTGGGTCCTCTGAGGTCTCCGGTAAGGCAGCCTTGGGGCTTCTGAGCCCCAGAACTGACGGATGACTTTGGGTGTCTCTATGATTGTTCCTCCCTGTCGACAGGGTTCCACGACAGGCCCCCCGTGAGATAAGCTGTCATTTCTTCATTCTGTTCCACGAATACGCACTGGTCACCTCCTTTTGGCAACCCTCTTGTGTTGGCTGCTTCTACGACATCAAGTGGGTTTTAACAGTTGGAGAAGCTCCTTGAGACGGGGACAACCCCAGTCCCTACCGGATGAGATGGAGGTGTTCAGAGCTCGACTGACCTCCCCGCCCCTCCCAGTCATACGCTTCTTTCTAGCCCTCAGCGTGCTGCTCTCACTCCTGCCTCAGGGACCTGAGACACACTCTTTTTCACAGACGTGGCTCTGAGCAGAGCGCGTGGCCCTCCAGGCTGCCCCTGCTTTGCACCGCTGACCGCACGCTCCCTGCACCCCTGCTTCCATGGTGCAGACCTCGATCGCGCACCACGCACTCCCCAGACCTGCTGTGCGAGAGCTGAGGGCCCCTCTCGTCGTGTTGTGACGTCATCACCCAGACGACGAGTCCTCAGTGGTCGGGGCTCCCTGGAGTCTCTGCGTCCGGTGACTACAGAGTCCTCGTCTCTCCTCGGTGGACTTCTGGCTGTTGGGTCCGCCTGTCTTCCATCCTAGCGCAGCCTCACGTCCTGTTGTGAGTCACTCCACATGATCGTGGAGGACCTGAATTAAATGACTCTTCCCACTCTCCATCTACCAACAAACCTGGTAACTCACCCTCTCATCTGATACAAGGGTCTTCCCTCTGATCTGCATTGCCTGCCAAACGGCGGAAGCCTCTATCTCCCTTTGGGCCGGCGGGTTCCGTGGGTCTGGGACACCAGCCTGTCCCTCCCAGCTGCTGGCCACTCCTGGGAAGATGAGGGGGACCTACTTCTGGTTTTGCCGGATGATATTCTTCAGAATTGGTGGGTAAACCGTCAGCAGGGGAGTCACCCTACAGTTTAAGAAGGAAGAGACAGACAACCCCAAAATTTTTAAAAAAGGAAAAAATGTGGGGAAAAATGTCTGAATAGACACTTCACAGAAGATGTGCAAATGGCCAAAAACACATGGAGAAGGAAGATCATTAGTCATAAAAGATGCAAATTAAGACAATGAAATATTAAAGTCATAAGGAAACATAAACATTAATTTGAAAAGCCTCAGAAATTCCCAATTGTGATAAGAATGTGGAGCGAGCAGAACCGTGTTGCAGGTGGGAGGTAAAATGGTACAAACACTCTGGAAACCATAGTGTCCCCCAAAGCTAACACGCATTTACCCTGCAGTGGTATGCAGGGATGCAGTGGTTTCCCCTTCCAGGTGTTCATCTAAGAGAAATGAAAACACACATTTAG